CCCTCAAGAGGCAGCAGAAGGTACAAAAGTGTATTAATTTTCAACTAACATAACAGTAGACTTGCTTGCCCTTGGGTCTGTCTATGCACAAACACACACATAAATAAACTTTTTCCCTACAAACACAGACAACCGTACATCTTTACCCTAGCACAACTCTTCAGAGTCTTGCCCTGTTACCTGATTCAATTGATACCGCACTTTGAAATGCTCTGCTCATAGATTGATTTCCAGTATGTCTGGTAAATGAGGCCTGAGGCAATAACCCACACACTGGATATCTAATACCTTCAGTGGAATATTTGGGTGGAATGAACAGCACCAAGACAAAGAACCTTTGAGGAAACACACAGAGATTGAGAAACACTTAATCAGATTCAAGCATTAATGTCTTAATGGTGCTTGTGCTTTGGATTCAGCATTTGGTGCAAGTGTCTCTGTAAGCCAGCCATATATCAAAGTCCAAACACCCACAGGGTCTTTAGAAGATTAAGCTGCTTTCATAATCGAAGGAAAGACTGGAAAGCTAAATGATCTAAACGAACAGTGACAGAAGCCACTGGTTTTGTTTAAGACCCAGACATACTGACCCATACATTGCCATACAGTATGACATCATCTGCTATATGCAAATCATGTGGCCATTTCTGTATCAAACATTAATTTATTGCCAAGTGTGATGTTGGTTGATGATGATGGTTTAAAGCTGTTAATGATTTAAAAAGGCAAATTAAAGGGGAATCATCATCTGTTGCAGCCTTAACATGTGATCAGCAGGTGCTGGCTCTCTGAGAAAGTGTGTGAGTCTTGTGTTGTAACTGTCAAATGCATTCTGCAATTTTCTATGTTAGGGGAAGGAAACATCTAGGAAAGGCTGACCATCTAAATTTTGTTTAGCAGATATTACAGTGAATGTGTGGCCTTTTATCATCTACAGTGCCAGCTGTCACATTTTACCTTGCAAAGGGGAAACACAGTTTGCTTCAAGTTCTCTTTAATTTCCTGCATAGTGGTCATCTTTAGGTCATTATAATCGCACTGTAGTCTATATATTGTGTATGGGTAAAACATCGGTGAGGCCACTGACGCCATCAAAGTACTCTACCAGTCAGTAACTGAGGCCACAATTATCTACTACTCTAAAAACAGAAATGATTTAAAATGGAATATTATTGTTGTAAATTGTGCTGATAAAAAGAAGTGTTATATGTGATACTGTAAAGCCAAAAGACATAGTCGAGGTTTTAATGAAATAGGAATCAATTTTAGAAGCATCAGAAAGAGAATACATTTTATGTTGTATTTTTCCAAGAAAATTGTTTCTAAATACAGCTTTCATGGACTCTATATAGCCACTTAAATTTTCAGCTATTATTGTGAATTAAAAAGTTTAGGTTACCCAAAAAAACAAAAAAAAAAATCTGAAAATCACCCTCAGGCCATCCATTGGTGAGCAAGTGATGTAATGCAAAATTTTTCCAAATCCGTTCTGAGGAAGAAACAAACTCTTTGATGGCCTTGGGTGGGGAAGTACATTTTCAGCAAATTGTCATTTTTGGGTGAACTATTTCTTTAACATTTAATGAAATATATAAATAATTTATATTTGCATTATATATTTATATTGTATTTTTTATCAGTATTTCTGGCACATAAAAACAGCTAGTCAAAAATATCTTTATTGCTGTGCCCTGATATGACTCTTTTCATAAGGCTACAGAACTTATTATTTTATATGCGAGGTGTTGGTCTGTTTGTGCACGTGCTGGTTTGGCTGCATCAAAGTGTTCTGTATGAACAAAAGCTATGGAGATATTTACTCATCCTCCTGCTTTCATTCACAATGTGGAAGTGATCTTAAAAATAATAATGTTTAATGTAACATGTTAAAGGTTTTTTCATAGCACAATGATTTCTCCACGGACGGCTATAATGAATCTTCTGCTTATCAAATTTAACCACAGCTGGGGGGCAGGGTGAGGCTTGACCCAAATACAGAGTGTGAGGACGGTATTATAGTGAAGAGATAAGATACAAAGATATAAAGATATCAGATATAAAACACATCTAAACACGATTTGAGAGAACTTCATGAGAATATAATTTAAGCTAAATAACTAAAACAGGGCATCCATTCATCTGTGTAATAATGTTACAATTTATAAATGCATGTATAAATGTATACATGTAAAGACAGATATTTTAACTGAACCAATGTTGCTGGGAGGTGGTGAGTATCCAGCATGAGAAAGCTTGCTTCTCAAAGCCTGTGATCTCTATTGATCGCAAAGGGCCATTAGAGAAGGTAAAGAAAGCAGCAACAAAGACTGCCGAACACAACTACACACAGTAATCAAACGGAACTCAGGGAAATCTTCAAGAATTCTTTAGAAGACAAACTAATTCTAAACCTCAAAGAAACAAAGCTCCAGGATGATCTAATTCACAACGTACACAACCATTTCTGTACATCACACACAGAAGCATGATCTAAAGCATCAGGCAGAACAAGTGCGATATGAGGAAGGAAAACTAAATGTGTCCTTTAAGTTTCTGGGAAACCCATAAGGGTTCATTTTTAAAGATTTTTGAGCCATGAAGATCATCCTGTCCACATGGGACCAGGACTCAAAGTGCACTGACTGGGATACTGCACTAATGTAAATGGTCTTCGCTGTCAATCACTGAAGCTGCATATTGGCTTGTGGGCATTTATTCTAATTCTACACATGCTTCACTTTAATGTGAACTGAATGAGTGTTTAGTCACATACACATGTGCTAAAATGGACACAGTGTGATAACTAGAAAGGACTAGCAAAATACACAAACACACACATGCTCATATTACAGTCACTGCTAACAGCCAATACATCTACTTGTTCTCCACCACAAACAAGATTTTCTGTCTGCCACAGTCACTACAAATTCAGTTCAGTCCCCATAGGAACAACTAGTAATAGCAGACAGTGAAATGACCGCAATATAAATGACCTCATATGCAAACAAAGAGAGCACACTGGTGTAAATCAAACCTCTCAGAATACCAAAACCATTCTAATACATCTTGATGTGTAGCAAAATTACATTTAGTTAATGTAGAGTGGATGTGCAATATAAATAGGAAATACAAGATTTCTGATGTTTTTAAACCATTTTATACAGGGAAGTGAATCAGCCAGTGGCACAGACGGAAGGACGCACTTTGGTTGTCATGATGAAAGCAGGTGGGAGGGGAAGCTGAAGTCCAAACACCTGATGTTTACGTGTGTGCAAATGAGAGAGCTAGACGCTTACTGGTGAATTTAGTCCCTTTAGAGCCCATTAGAAGCATTGTGACAGATTAAGTAAAACAACAACTGGAACTGTGATGACGACAGCATTGTTGTTTTTAACTAAAACTAAAACTATTAAAAATATTTTTTGGTAACTGAAATAAAGACGAAATAATATAAATGATTGAAATACTGGTGAAATATTATAAATTAAAAACTAGAAATGTTGCACTGGGATCTAACTGAAATAAAATAAGTTGAAACTAAAAAAGAATAAAAAAAAAACGAACAAATTACTAAAACTTAAATGAAAACTGAAAATATAAAAAATAAAAGATAATTAAAAATGTTAAACATTCTATATATAAATAATACTAAAACATCACATAGAAATTGGAGCTTTAATGTGTCTGTGTTTGTTACTGATTACAAATGTACACTGCAATATTCTTTGTACGGTTAGGAATAACTAATAAACATCACCAAATATTTACCAAAAAAAAGAAGAAAAAAAAAGGAGCTACACTGTCAGAACCCAAAACAATCCACAAAATCACAATCATGCTACCACGGTAATCTATCAGGTCAGTACTTTGGGGGTGCTTGCACCAATTGAGTTCCCCCACTTTAGGGTGTGTTACCGTGGCAATGTGACAACAGACAACCACCCTCCCCTGTTGACCTCACCCTGAGGGAAAACTTTTCCCTAAGCTTTGTTCCTGAATGGATTGTCTCCAATTCATCTCACCATGAGAAATTGGATGGGCTACTAAAGAAGCTGGCTTCAGAGGATTACAATAAAGCACATCACAGTCTGTGACAAAGCAGCACAAAAAGCACTACTAACAGCCCTAAGGGTCTCTACGGGGCATTAGCATGAGCTGGTCAGCAGCAGAAACCTTCAAATGCATACATTTGTACTTTACAGTTGTCCTGTGAATTCACATTTATAGGATACTGTGACTATGACAGATTTCAGATGATGTAATGTTTACAGACCATGGTCCAACACAATAAAGTTAAATAAAGGAGGCACGGAAGGCTTTTGAGCAGGAACCGTGCTATAGTTTTCTTATTAAAGTCTGAACAACATGTTCATATTACAGAGGAGCTGACTCATGGGACCCGTGAGGTTACACGAGTAATACTGTAATCTTTAGGGATGCGTCCTATGGCGTGACAGCGATCACACTAAAGGCTACAGAAATAAAACTGAGTGTTAATGAAACGGAAACAGAATTGATCGATTATACCCACAGGAAAGACAAGGGAGAAAGACGGGCGAAATTGTAGAATCAATAAATGACTACAACTGTCAATCTACACCACACACACACACACACACACACACACACACACACACAACACACACACACACACACACACACACACACACACACACACACACACACACACACACACACACACACACACACACACACACACACACACACACACACACACACACACACACACACACACACACACACACACACACACACACACACACACACAACGCGGGAATATTATCAGTATGAGCGACCATGCGAGAATCCATGCGCAGGGAGAATATTAAAATTATTATTTTAGTCAGTCAATGAATGCATGGTCTAGTACAGGACACTGCTAGAAGAAACAAAATCATTCAGCAGCAGAAATAATTGTAAAAACCTAAACGTATTTTACAGAACTAAACGTGCAATTTAAACTGGGTTAAAGAACTTACCGTGTAGAATCTAAGGGAAAGATGTACTAGTTTTTTCCTGTTGCGGCAGGTGCGTGTATCCGAGGGTATGTGTGTGTTGGTATCACCGACATTCTGCGCGTCCAGCGCTGCAGCGACGCTCAAAGATGCAGTGCATTACAGCCAGAGGACACACTACGCATGCGCGTGTGGTGTGCGCCGAGCTACAGCGCATGCGCAGTGCGCGCTGTGACCGGCTCGGGTGAATCTTTGGGACCGCTGGAGAGTGTGAACGTAGGCTGTCACTCACTGGTGACGAGTGTAACATAATACTACTCGGGCACAAATATTAATATTGACATACAGCGTCGCTGGCTGTTTATTAAACATAAGCAGGTCTATTCGGCAACCATGGAGATGATGGAGCATTGTCCAGATACAAATAGTAATTTAAGGGTAATTTTAGAACCATTGACTGAAATTTATTCTATTCTCAAATACTGTATTGAGAACGAATCTCATTAACCGTCTTTTTCCAAATCCAGTGGCTGGGCTGTAGTAATTTGCATGCATTTGGCTTTTTAGGGAAACAAAATGAAGGTGCTTTTAGGCACTGGAGTCAAGCATTCTCGTGGTTCTTTATGTCAAAAATCAGTTTTTATCTATTCCTGTATTTGGGTCTTCGATTCCTGTGAAGAATTTATTTATTCCTTCATTCATTCATTTTTTTTTTAAATTTATAACTCTTTTCTCAGTGCAAAATTTTCCAAACGGTTTCAGAAGAAAATAAATGTCCCCGAGGCGACTGTGGGAAGAAATCTTCTTCTGCAAGGCACATACATATAGAATATAGCCTATCACGTTTTATAGTTAAACAAAGAATTTATTAAATATTTTAAATGATTTAATACGTAAAATGAGATGGGCAGACCTACGAGGATTAATTCTCATATGTACTATTGGACACACTGTACTCAGACCAGTTACATAAAGTCTTTGACAGGTTATATGAGGCCTTGCAGAAAAAGGACAGAGGCACCATTTTCCTCACTTAAAATCAATCTACACAATCACAGCGTTCATTAAATGATGACTAAATGAGCTTATAAAAAAGCATACTAGGACCACTAGAAGACCTCGACAAACTTACAGAGGAGCCCAGATAAGTCTTACAATTATTTAAATGTAGTTATATTGACATAAAAACAGACAGAAAATAAAGATGTACAACATTAAACTGGCATTATATTTTAGACTTCATTTGTATTACAACAGAAGTACTATAGGTACATATCAGCTCAGATAGGAAGGTCTTTAAATATTTTCTTGGACAAATTGTGGTTTTGGATTCCAAAAAGTTTAGAACGACTCAATGATTATGTAATCCCAGCATAAAGTCTGTGAACACTAAGTGAACTAGTAAGAAAGGCAACAGTGCCCTCTGTAGGCAGAATTCCGTCTGTGGTAATAGATCCTGTCAACTGAAACAATGTTAGAAGGCAGACTCCTTTAATTGCTCCAGAAACCAGAAAGGTTGTCAGATGTAATAGGAGGAAAAACAAATACTTACCACTGAAAAGATTTAATACATTTTAATAAAAAGAGAGTTATACACAAGACTTAAGAATGAAAAGTTTTATTTTCTCCCATGATTCAACATTCAGATCTTTTCTGCCCTTAAACACCTGATCCATCATTTATCAACAAATCCTCAAAAAAAAAAAAAAAAAAAGCAGCACACAGCAAAGTTCTTTTATACCCAAAGTAAAATACAAGATTTTACAAATACACACATATATATATATATAGATGTGACTATGCATGTCAGTCAGTTCTCACACAATTACTGTGCATTGGTGTCGCGGTCTGCTGCTAAGACAGAACTGAAGTCACACAGAATCTAAAGGTAGTTATTGTACATCAAATGAAAAGAGGCAAGACTAGGAGAACCAGGTGTGCAGATGTTTTAAGAGTCTCCAAGAATAAACAACTGCATTATTTTGTATTCAAGATATAAAACTTAACATTCCATTTGGCATCCATATTTTTATATTAATTTGTTCTACATTCAATTTTTTGACAACGTTTCCCCCCCATGTATATATTGCCATGGTAGAAACTTTTTTAAATGCCCAAATCTAAAGCTTTTCCAAGTTAGTATATGATTATTTCATCATCTGAGTTGATACTGGGGTAATCAAATTTGATGTTACACTTCTGGTATTTAAAGAGTTAACTCATTGAACACTTATAAGAGGGGAATGATTTAGAAGAGCTCTTCTTCCTCTGACATGTAAAAAAAAAAAAAAAATTATTAAATTTAAAAATGAATAAAGAAAATAGAGATACACAGAGAAAGAAGAACAAAACCCAAACAGATATAAACAGCCGAGGCAGCTGACATGATATTTCACATCAAATTAATTTGGTTTACATTTTGTACAAAATAGTTTCCTGGCTTAGTTACTGAAGAAATGGAATGCAAAGAAAGGTTGCTTAAAAAAAAAAAAAAGATTGTAATTTCAAGTTAAATAGAGGTTGCTGGTCTATATGCATGTGTGATTATCCTGGACTGCAAATATGGCTGTTTATTGGTCCATTCTGTGGTTTGTATGGTTCATATTCACAACTCCTGACAACACTGAAGATGATGAAAACTGATGATTGACAAAGAGCAAGGCACATCAAGCCAGAAATGAAGCCCCATCCCCTTTTAATGGGATCTACAAAAGGTTTACTTTAAAAATTTTATAGCAAAAAGGCCAGAATTTGAGAGTTTATCTTGCCCTTTTTGTGACCGTAAATGCAGCAGAGCAAAACTTCAAGTTTGAACTAAAATGGCCAATCTTTCAGATCAATATGCCCTTTAAGGCGGCAGTATGGAAATTTATGTCAATGTATTTGATAACAATATAACAGTGCAGTTACATAAAAAAAAGGTTAGGAGAGGTTGACACCAGTGAGGTCTAGAAAAAGATGAAAAGGCAAATTTTAAGTAGAATTAAGTGTCAGACTGCTTTTTAGTCCAAGACCAATTTAATTTGAATAATCTTTAAAAAAAAAAAAAAACAATTTTTAAAGTCTGTACAACATTCATAAGGCCCCTCATTTCTTCCTGCTTCCTGTTTATCTGTCTGTATTTCATCAACCATTAAAGTGCTGGTAACTTGATTCAAAAACTACAAGATTGTTTTTGTTGCGCAAGAGTGTGCAAACTCTCAGACAAAAGAAAAAGCATTTATTTAAAAACTAAACTTCAAGTGTAAAGTCAGACATAGCAAGGACAAAGAGTGGAGCTAAATATTCCTCTTTTATCAAAATGGTTTCCTGTCATACATTTATTGACAGGTTTTAGTGTCCTGAAAGTTGTAAAAAGGGAATGGAGTGATAGCGAGACATTTTTGCTTTATGGATTTGGTTTCCTAATGGAGTGCTGTGCTCTGCCCTCCGCTCTGGATTATACCATCTGATTCAATCAGTGCTCCTCTAGCCAAGAGGGGGTTTCTCCTCCTGGTAACTTTAGTTTGATGTGGAACTGTTTAAGGGTCTGTTCCAGCTGCTGTTGGTTGCCTGTGAAGTATGCTGCGATGGCGTTGTGGAAGAGAATCAGCTGGTTGTGTAAAACCTTCACCTAAGGAAAGGGGGATGAAAACGGTAATTCACACACTGAGGACATAAATCATAACTCACAATACTGAAAAGGAAAGAAAAAACAGGAGTATTAAAGAGACTTTTTGTTTGAGCATCCAACTGGGCATGTAAAGCATGCCATTTTCCCCCCGATAATTAACAGGAACACCCAGACAAAAAGTGTAAATGAATAGTTAAAGTGTAAATTGAGTGAATTATAACACGTGATCACATGATCCTTCAGAAATCATTCTAATATACTGATTTATAGTCAATGTTAGAAACAGCTGTGCCGCTTAATATTTTTTGAACCCGTGTTATTTTTTCAGGATTCTTTGATAAATAAAAGTTAAAAAGAACAGATTTTATTTAAAATAGAAAGTTTGTGTTAAAATATACACTACTATTCAAAAGTTTGGGGTCAGTCAATTTTTTCTTTCATTATTTTTAAAAGAAATTAATACTTTTATTAATCGAGGATGTTTTAAAATGGATGAAAAGTGATAGTAAAGACTTGAATTGTTAGAAAAGATTTCTATTTTGAATAAATGCTGTTCTTTTTAACTTTTTATTCATCACAGAATTAAAAAAAAAAAAGCATCAGAGGTTCCAGAAGAAAATATTAGGCAGCACAACAGTTTCAACTCTGATAAATCAGTATATTAGAATGATTTCTGAAGGATCATGTGACACTGAAGACTGGAGTAATGGCTGATGAAAATTCAGCGCTGCATCGCAGAAATCAATTATATTTTAAAATATATTAAAATAGTAAACCAATATTGGAAATTGCAATATTATTTCACAATATTTCTGTTTTTTCTGTATTTTTGATCAAATAAATACAGCTTTGATGAGCATAAGAGACTCGACACAGAAAAAAAAAACATTAAAAATCCTACTGATCCCAAATATATATATTGTATTTTTTGCTGATTATATTGAAAAATGTGTCTGGCAAATTTGGTGTAGTCTAGCCAACTGCAGTGATAACCAGCAATTTTATGTTTATTATACATCATCTGAACAGTAAAGATGTTTTTTTTCCAACAGGATATCTTAGTCAACTTGAAAGGGCCTTTGCAACATCTTTACTTTTGTAATGTGATGCGTTGTTTCCAAGTAAGCAGGATATTGAACAAGAAATGTTGAAAAACAAGAGAGTTTGGTTAGGATCAGCCAAAAATTAAAGTTGTTTCGAAGGTGAAGCAAGTTAATATTTTTTGAAATATTAAAGAAACATTGGCACCACATTTTACAAGCTACAATTAGCACTATAGGTACAGAATAACCTATATAACCTTTTAGCAATTAACAGTAGCAGTTTTTGGGAAACTCATTATTTCAGCAACTTGCATTTAATTTGGTCGATATAGTGCAAAAAAGTATCAAATATCAACATATTAACTAATTTTACTTTGTAAATGATCAAAGTATAAAAGACATATTTATTTATTTATAAGATACATTCTCCTACCTTGTTTTCCTCCAGAAACTTGAGTTTGA